ACCACTTCTCAGAGTCGGCACCAGGATCTGCGTGTGAAGCGAGGGCATTACTACTACTTAGTACAGGACGGAGGCCATCGCTAGTAGGTTGGAGGCCATCGCTACTAGGAGCAAGAAGCTACTAGTAGCTCCTGGCCTTAGGAACAAGAAGCTACGAGTAGCTCCTGGCCTTAGGAACAAGAAGCTACTAGGATCTGCGTGCGAAAGTCCAAAAACCCTTCGAAGTGAACAAAGCAATGCTTCCACAAAAGAGATGCGGACCCCCAAAGGTGTGAAGCTCCTTTCAAGTTCTTTTCTAGAAAAGTGTCACACTGGCGGCAAAGCTCAACAGCTTGGATTCATAGGGAGTCACTGGGAGGGACTAGACAGCTGCCGCTGCGCTGCGATCCTTGGGTCTGCAACCAGGTCTGCACCGATCAGTTTCGTTATTGGACCAAGCGTAAGACTGCTCAGGATGAAACTGCCTGTGTGTTGCCAGACAGAATCTTCATTCTGAGGGTTGATCCTGATTCTCTGGTGTTTGTGGGGAGTTCTACCCTTCTCAAATTGGTTTCTGCCTTCCTGCGACATGGCAGTTGAGTTTCCTTTGTACATGGCTACAGAATGCTACAGACAGACCATGGACGTCGTGAGGTCGCTTTCGCACTTGTCCTCAGCATCAGCCCTCGAAATATCTTGGAAAATGGGTAGGACTGCAAGATACTCGTACCTGCTTTTGGGGAGTCATATCCATTTTCCTGGCTCCTGGAAACCACGGAGATCAACTAAGCCCACATATGGCCACCAGAACCAGGGCACTCTGGCGACATGGGATTTGAATGAGCTTAAAATACGGAGACCCCTGGTTCCAACCTTTGAAAGAGTGCAAAGTATGTCGACATCAGTAGAGTCAAACAGCAAATCTTCCTGTGTTCATACCAAGCCCATTTGCGCCAGCTTTGAGACGGTGATGCTCATCATTTTGGGCGTCCATGCAGCCGACGTCCCCAGTGGATCGTTTTTGCACACATCCGGACACGAGACACTCTGTTCGCTTGAGTGGGAGCGAACAGGAAACATCAAACTGCATCAGGGTTAAACGTGTTGGTTGGGCACGCCACCTTAAGGAGCCACCGTTAGCTGTCGGATGCCAACAAACCAGCGGCGGCAGCAATATAAGAAGATGAAATCAGTCCCTGAACCCTTGTTACGTTCGTAGCTTCTTGCTGCTAGTTGCGATGGCCTCCACCCTAGTAGCGATGGCCTCCAACCTACTAGCTTCTTGTTACTAGCAAACGGATAACGGTCTGAAGAAGAAAGGTCTTAATAAGAAAATAAGGACTGTATTGCCCCCCCACGTCAATAGAGCGACCAAAAAGAGTGAGACATCCATCGCATAGAGACTCCTCGTGGCTTGACACGTCGGACGAATGCTTCGAGACATGCTTCGAGACATGCTTCGACCATGGGACGCGGGCACAACACATCAAATGACTTAAATTTAAGTTAATTTTACTTTAATTCTAATAGCTTTTTGTTACTACTAGTAAGGCACTTGTTACTACTAGCGAGGCACTTGTTACTAGTAGCAATGTAGCAACATGTTGGCAGAGTGGAGCCGAAACGAGGTGTTTTGCGTCTTCCTCATAGCCACGGCCTCCTCCGTGGCTTGGGAGCTGGAGATGGTTTGAGCGGCTTGGGAGGGGTTCGAGCGGGACTGAGTGTGGCATCTCTGGGGTTTGAGGTGGGGTCAGTACCTGCTTGGGCTGGGTGGATGGTTGAGACTCCAAGTGGCGGGTTGGGCGACGAATCCCTTCGTTCCCTGGGGCGGAAGTGGAATCGCTCGAAAAGCGGACGCTCCGCTGATGACCAAACACCGATGTTTCTTCAACCGGTTGGATTTTGCTAGTTAGATGGTGGGGTGAATGTGTTTGACGTGTTTGACTGTCACAGGCAGATGAAAACCATGACACCAGCTGACCCAATCATATTGGAACACAATCGGTTCTCAATTCTCCCTAATTATAGTGAATTATAGTGTTTTCTAGTGCATGGTCTGTGCCTTTGACTTGTTTTAATTCGTTGGCTGTCTTAATTGATGAACCTATGATGATGAGCCTACCTGTTCTCATGAAAGACTGTGGTATGTGAAGTTCAGGCAAATTTACACGAAGATTCCGGTGAAAACACGAGCTGAGCATGCCAACAGCTTGGGGGCCTTCACCAACTCTTGACCTGGCCTTTTGAGGGGCGGAGACTGTGCATAACGACTGGACTAGACTATGGCTTGTTTTCAGGCTGCTTTCTCATCCGGCTGAACGTCGAGATTCGAGCAGCGAACAGTATTGGAGAGCCCATGTCTGACAATGTGAGAACATGAAAGACCTCGAGGGCTTTGTCATTCACCGAAGAGTGAACTGTTCAACACATTTGGGCGGGTGGATGATCTAGCAACAAGTGCATTGGCTATAAGTAACAGGTGCTACCAGTGGTGCCATCGTCTTGTATGCTTCTAGTAGCTTCTGCACTTGTTACTAATAGGCTGATGAATGGTGCCCGTAGGAAGTCCTCCGGATCTGAAGGTATGGGTGGTTGACCGCATCCTCAGGTGTTGGACATCAGCATGTATGGCTTCACCATCAGCAGCACCAACCAGCTTAGTGGGGCTTCCCGACGGGGCTTCCCCACGCGAGAACTAGTTCTATGCAGTTTTCGAGCCATTTGCATTGGAGCCCCATTTGGGGGTCTACTCGGCATCCACTCCATAGAAGCATTCTCAGCGATGGGCACTCTCAGAGGGCCCGAAACACGAAAGTAGATTTATGATTGGGCACCAGAATGCTATTTTGACAATGCTTTTGGAAGACCATTAACACCATTCAAACACAACGCCTTCAACAAAAGAGTGATGTGATGATTTTGCAACCCCTTCAAATCCACCGCTATTTGAGACACGGGTTTGCCCTTTGTGTGTTGAGAGGCACCCCAAATGCTGCTATTTATATACCTTCCTCAACAGTTACTCCTCACGGACTACGGAGGTGACTCTATCTCCCAGTCCCACGAAGTTCGAGGTGATTCGTTGGATGTTCATGTCGACGTGGCTCACAGAAGATGCGCTCTTCCATAGTTCGATATTGGATTTTCGTGTTTTAGTGAGACTTCTTTGGTTTCAGATGTTTTTAGTATTGCAGTTCTTCCATGTTGTTTTTGATATTTTTGGCCTTCCCTTGCCACACGGACCCTACAGATCTACGTCCGCCCGACGTTGATTGGTTATGTGACCGGTTGACCACTCGCCCAGTTGCCGGCACTTGGGGGCTGCTGGGCATTGTGAGCATTGTCAGCGCATTGGTGGGCTGGTCACAACAGCGGGACTGCGGAGCAGTCACAACTGCGGCAGTCAACACCAGTTTGGGGGACCGGGCCTTCAGTTTTACCACAATGTAGTTAGGAACAAGAAGCTTTCTAGTAACAAAGGGCATCGCTACGAACGTAGCAAGTACTAGTAGAAGAAGCTACTAGTAGCAAGCAAAATGTAATAAAGTACTTCTTGGAAAAGCCTTTTTGGATTTTGTTCGCTGCAGGTGTGATTTGTAAATGAGAAAGATGATGGAAGCTGATGAGATAAAGGTATGAAACAAATGACCTTGATGGCCTTGGGAGAAAAAGGTTTGCAGGCAAGGGCATCGCTGCTAGTAACAAAGGGCATCGCTACTAGGAGCAAAGACGCTACTAGTAGCTCCGGGCATACGCTGCTAGGAACAAGAAGCTTGCTAGGAACAAGGGCACGTCCCAAGTTTGCTGAAGCCCATAAGTTTCCTGTTGATCGACCGACCTGACCCCCTCTACGCTTTTCAGGAGGGTGTACTGGAGTACCCAAGGATGTTCCAAGTGTGGATGTTTCTACTAGTAGCGATTCCCTAGAAAGCTTCTTGTTCCTAGTAGTAATGCCAGGAGCTACTAGTAGCGCCCTTGCTCCTAGTAGAAATGCCCTTTGTTACTAGTAGCTTCTTGTTACTACCTTGGCGTTGGGAGGTTGGATGATGTTGGAGTGTGGATGTATCAGATTATTTATGCAGACTGCCTCGCAGGAGACGCCGATGGCGGTGTACTTTTGGTACCTGTTGGTGGGGAAGCTTCAGTTCCTTTTTTGGGGAGGGCTGAGCTGGGCAACTTTCTTGAAGAACCAGACCTTTGTGCAGGATGTCGAACCGCAGTTGATGAGTTCTTTTTGATCAGGGGCATTCATTCACTATTCAAGCAGAGGCAGCCCGGCTGCCTTGCTGGACACATCCACTCCAACAGAAGCCTTTGGCCTTTGACCCTTGATACCATTTGATACTATCTAGGTTGAAGGCCATCACTACTTGGTTGGAGGCCATCGCCAGTAGGTTGGAGGCCATTGCTATTAGTTCCTTTTGCTACTAGGTTTGCTTTAGCCTTTGACCTCGAACCTCGCCACAGAACATCGTTGGTCGATACATCGCCAAATTCCTTGGCGCCAAAGCACGGTTCTATCTGGGTAGAGGAACCCCGTGAGAGGCACGTGGAACAGGTCCGCATGGTTCTTCGGTTCGCAACCAACTGCTTCAATTCAGTGCTGAAAGGGTGGGAGTAAATCCAGGCTAGCTGCAACGAAAAGGAACTATAGACCTGACTAGGCAGCTGTTCTGCAATTGCATGGTGGGATTCAATATAGTCGGACTTTAGTGGATACGGTCATGGATGTGTGGCTGTTCAATGTAAATCACTCCCCATACAATATATTGACTCCTTTTGCACCCACCATTTGCTCATTTTCTTCCCACTGTGTTTCACTTGTTTCTTTGCTGCGGTGAGCTGGCGAGCTGACAGCACCAAAAAGTTCTGTGCTGAAGGGTCTTAGGAGCAAAAAACGGCCCTCCAAATCTGGACTACAAACCATCACAAGTCACCGCAAATATGATTGAATCTTGCATGAACTTCTAGGCTGGTCCTAATTTTTCTTGCTACGCCGCCTTCTTCCCGGTCGCCGTTTCAGACCACCGACACCACACGTCAGACGTCTGCGCCCATGGCGGATCAACTGGTCAATGGTGCTGGGGCGGGTGGTCCCCAACTGCGGCGGATGAACACTGCACAAGTGGCCCCTGGGATGAGAATCAACCTGACTAGCGATGGCCCTCCATCCTACTAGCAATGGCCTCTCATTAAAAAAAAAGGAAGCTCATGGAAGTTCCTTGAAGCGATGGCACTGATCGGACAGAGTCTAAGAGGCAAACTCGGACGTGAAACATCACCGGACAGTGGTGAACGGAGTGACCCCAGATGTGTTCTTTCACCCGTGGCTTTCCCAGTGAACGGACTAACCCCCCGATGGCACGGACGGTTTTCGTCACGCGTCGGCCGCGGCCATCGCGAGTTCGGTCTTAGAGGTCGACGTGTCGAGTGGCTTTCTCACGGCGATGCTTTGTGCCGGTTCGCTGAGCCACGTCATCAGCATCATCCCCTTGGGCCCTTGGGCTGAAACTAGTAACAAGAAACTATTAGGTTGGAGGCCATCGCTAGTAGGAACAAGAAGCTAGCCACTAGCTGTGCGAATGGTTTGAAAATTATTCAATCAAGAACACAGGACTTAAACGGACATCATGGATTGAGCTGAGTTCGGCTAAGGAGGCTGTCCTTTTCTGGAGGTAGCATGGAATTTGTGTGCGGATTGGTATGAATTACTGTATATGCAATATGACAACTGATAATTACTGATAAAACTTTAAGCAATGTTTGAAATGACAGTTTGCTTTGCACAACAGAGCAAGCAAAAAAACACGCTCACAGTTCACGGCTTGTTGCGATATCGAAACTATCTCTGTTTTCTTTCTTTGAGGTTTTGGCATGTATGTAGCCATCAGCAACTGGAATGAGAAATGCGATCAGTATTTGCAGCTTTGGCTGGTGCTCAATGGAGTCATCCAATTGATCTTGCTGGTCCCCGCGGTGATCTCGACTTGTCGCTCGTTTCATGGAAGATTTCCCGTGCTGAGATCTCCGCTGGATGAGAAGTTGCGGATGAGAATCTGAGAATCTGACCCAGTGAGGATTTAGGTTTTGGAAAACAACCAGACCCCCCAAAAAGATGTTGGAATCCACGGAATCAGGATGGGTCAGGTGGTCCAACATCGAGGATCGAGGATCGGAGAATTGGGAGGTTGCATGGTCAATTTGGCTCCCTTGATGTGCTGGGAATGCAATTATAAGTTGGAGGCCATCGCTACTAGGGTGGAGGACATCGCTCTTAGGTTGG